GTATATTCAATGCGACCTATGTCGGGCGGATAACACAAAAGATGAGGTTTTTCATTTGCAGTTGATAAGTACATCAATATCTTACTTTACCGTAATGTATTCTACGCAACAGTGACATGAATGTGTCCGCCATTTAATAGTATATTGAGATGTAGTAGGTAAGCGTGATAACTTCTGCCCGTTATGTTCTTACTGGAAACTTTCAATTAATTCTATATAATATCTTTTTTAAAGCTTTTTTTTTCTTTTGAAAGATTCCAGACAATTTGAACTTATTTTATACAAATCCATATTGCATTCGCAAATTTTATGCGACACTTACAACATCTAGGTGTCAAAATAAATTTACCTGTTATTATAAAGAGAAAAATATCATTTTACTACTAACAGAACGATAACTCAGTTTATATTTCTTCTTTTAAGTAATGATTATCTTCAACAAAGAATATTTTCTTGATAATAGTTTAGAAACATGTTTATTACAATTTCAGAAAATCATGTTATTGTGTATTCAAAAGAAGAATTTATTCTTTTTAAAGAAATATTGTGAAACTTTATCGAAGAACAAGTTGGTCCGACTTTATGGAGTAAGCAAACCGAATTTTTTGTCTAATTTAATACATATAATTTAATATTCTTGATTAAAATGTAAAACGTGCTAAGATTTTATATAGATATTTTGAATAAGTTTGATACTTATGATAAATTTATGATAGATTTGCGGATATATAAACTGACGAAATGTTTCTAACAAATAATAACATTTACTTAAATGCAATATATATTTTTTGATGTATGTACGTTTTAAGACTCGGTTGTGCAATACATATAAGAAACATAGATATATCATGGTTTTAATTATATCTAATTATTTGAAGCATTCAAAACGTGTCTGGAGATGGCGCTGATTCAATTATACGTTGTCGGAAAGTAATTATATTTGGAGGAATAGGATATAGGTGAGACACCGCGTGAGAGGCTAGTAATTGGTGAGCATTTAATACAATCAAGCACATTTACGACTTTAAAATTCCTTATATACAGACTAATGCATTAAATCGTTTAAGTGCGGCCGTTCAAAGGAGAGATTGGGACAATTCGTCGGTTTTACTTATTTTCTTGAAAAATCATGAAATTTAGTCACGCTAGTAACTGCAAAAGTGGACACTTTTTAGAATAGTTTAATTATTGAATGTCATAGACTTGAGCATCACATACTTTAGTATTATTCCGTAAGTAATATATATTAGCACAAGTAACAGTAAAAAAATTCACAAGTTATTAGAAGTTTACACTTTACCGACGCTAATTCCACAGTTAACACGTCGAGCTTGAGACAAATGCGACTGACATTCTTCTCAACGATCAAACGTACTTCACGAGTGTTTATACTGGTGCTTATACTGAAGCACTTGAATGGTGGAAAGAGCGATTACGCTTACTTATCAGGCGTGAACTTCGGCCGGCTAGTCGTCTCATAAGTTATTTCGTGAGAAATTAATGTATATTAAATTTCTTTCCATTTAAGTTTGATAACTGATATTGTTTCTATGACAAAGAGATTAAAATTTCCATTCGGGGCATGGTTATTCCGAGGCAACACAACAGAATTCATTATAGTTGGTTAACCCAGTTTCGAGTGTATTATCTTTTCAATAAATTTATTGCTTGCACCATTTATGATTGCTGAATATATACCGAACCTTTTTATTAAAATTGTTACTTCCATAATATTTTCTTGTTCTCCAAAGTACTCTCACTAATTTTTTAGTTTCTTGTCTTGAAAGATTGTTCTTCTTATTAATCTTATTTGACGCTTTGTTTAAGTCTTAATCTCTTTTCAGTGAGTTTTTCCGCACTATTAATTAAATACATCTTCGAACGCGAGTGGTAAAACATTTCATGATATTTAAATACGCGCAATAGTAAAAATAAAATAATGTAATTGTAAGAATGTAAAAAATGTTTAGTTTCAAATTGCTGTAATATCAAAATTACATGTTGTCACCAAAAAAAGAAAACTTATTTATATTATAATTTGCAAGTACATCGGTATCTTATTTTATCGTTATGTATTTTACGCAGAAGTGACGCAAATTTCCATCGTTCAATAATATATGAGAGTACAGTAGATGCGCGTTGGATGTTATTTGATTTTCACTAATCTATGCGTGCAATTAAGGTTGTGAATATCTGCGAAGAAAGCTCTGTGAAAACATCTAAATTAGATCAATATTTTACCGTCTATAATTCCGTGGATGGTATCTTGCTATATTGCGACATATCGGCTGATGTAACCTCCCCATAACCATGTGTGTCTCGTGGTTGCTGGCTTTACAATGAACTGTGTACGCGACTGGGATGCAAGTGCGCTTGCGTGGACATTTAGATGACCAAGTCGTTTCGTGAGTGTTATTCTATGGGAAATAAACATACGCATATATTGAATTTCTCTCGGTGTCAGATCGATAGCCGGCTTTTTCCCCTTCAAAGTCATGAGAATGCACGCGTGTCGATTTTACGGAAATATTACGCATCGCCCTACGGTTATTTTTCATTATATAATTTACATTAAATTTCATGTTAAATGGAAGGCTGTTATAGAGTTGAACGATTGAAATAAGGGTATTTTGCAAAAACGTCGTGGACTTCCCACAGTCAAACGCGTCTCGACACTCGTAGCGAAATGATCTGTATTGAAACTGAACATTTTTCTATTAATCGAATTCTTCTGCTAGGAGTTGGCTTATGGCCTTATCAGCGATCAAAACTTATCCTAATCCAGACTATCATAACTTTCCTCATACTGATGTGTTTTGTAATTTTTCAGGTATGTTTATATTGTAATTGCACATGTTATTGTGTAATAGAAATGGTTGCACAGTCACCTGTACTAAATGTCTACTTTGACTGCAAAAACACGCGAATTATAATATGATTGTTTCATACTATTGAACATTTATATAGTAAGACATCTCAGCTTTTTTTAATCAATAAAAATTAGTCGGATTTATTAATTAAACGTCATGTCTTATCAACGTTCAGAAAAATTTTTTTATTATAACACAATTTAATTTTTCTTTAACATAAAATTTGTAACTTTCTTTTTATAAATTTAATTATGTTGTTTTATAATAGAAATGGAGGTAACAAACTATTTTAAATTTTCACTTTGGTAGTTATATAAAGAAACAGTTTTTAATATTGTTATTTAAAAAAATGTGTTGCCTACAGACTACAGTATTTCTAACTGCAGAATACACTTCTGATCTTGTCATCAATGTTTTGACCAATACATTAGTGTCCTGTATTTTTTCGTTTAATTTTCTTTCTTTCTGGATTAAGATTCGAACTGTAAGTTTAAATTATCTGTGGTATATTTAATTAAATGTTATCCGTGAAGTTTTTTATATAAACATTTTTTAGAATTCTATAAGAAGTAACGTTATACAATATAATTATTATTATAGTAATAATTATTATAACAGGTAAAGTGTTTACTGGAAAGACTACAGGAAATTTGTAATGAGTTGAAGGACGAGAATGAAATTGCAATTATAAAAACACATGGTTATCGAGCAAGACAAATTACTATTTTTCTTATACGTAAGATAACGCTCTTTATACTTACATTACTGTATATAATGAAATATACTCGTTATAAAAGTTTATAAAGATTGTAAAGTTAACCACTTTACAATCTTGTGCGTATGTGTGCAAACTTTGAAGCTATATTAAAAAATACCTAATTAACATTTTAATAAGATGTTACGGGTGTAAATATATTTTAACGATGACATATGATATTTAAGTTATTATTAAAAATAACAGAAATTGAAATATTTCTATAATCAGTTTTATGTCAGACCATACACATAATAGAGGTTATATTTTTAGTAAATTTTGTTTTACAATAATTCTTTCCTATTGATTATTAAATAAAACACCAATTTATATAATTGTATTTTTTTAAATGTTTTTAGTGATAGTCGTGTTTCCTCAAATTGTTATTATTGCTCAACCAGTTTGGCCACGCGTTCTTGGCATTTTTTTGTTCCTGAACAAATCTTTGTTTCGTCGCAAAACGTTTATCGTGACCGAGTACTTTGTTGATCAAGAAAAGTATTCTTACTTAATCATGTTGCATACGAACATAGCAGTTTTCATAGGAACGTTTGCAGTGATAGCAACAGGAACGCTGCTTTTGGTGTCTCTTAAACATGCCTGTGGAATGTTTAGTATCGCCAGGTGATGAAGCCAATAGCAATATGTAGAAAAATCATGATTTTTATTAGTGTATTTTTGTATGTTGAATAAATAAATAGAAAATTATATAATTATAAGCAAGAAAATTATTTACAGTTATCGCATAGAACGAGCAATTACAAACAATAGGCGAGAAAATGTTAATTTAAAGGACCAAAATGTGATTTTTAGGAGGATGGTCTATGCGATAGACATTCATCGTAAAGCTATGCAGTCGGTATTTATTTGATAAGACTTACTTAAAATAAGTGTAATAACATTCTCTTACATTCTTAAAGATACTCCAATTTTCTGGTATCCAGCTTTGAGGGAACTTTCTTTCTTCTCATAGCGTTCACCGTGATTTGTTTGAGTTTTAATTTTTTTCGAGTGAGTTTTTCCGGACTTTAAATATATCTATAGACGAGAGGAGTTTATATACAAATCTCAATATATAAATTTGCTTACATACAAAACATAATCATAATGATATAAACATAATAATATAATTTATAGTATATAATAGTATAATTTATAGTAAAATAATAATATAATTATAGTATAATAATAATATAATTATACTATGTGCGTAAAAACAGTTCAGTATAAAAAAAATCTTGATATTATTAAGTTATATATTAATTGTGATTTATACAAGTAATATCATTAATAACCATTCATCTTTATGAGGTTGACATTATTTGGTCTTAGATTTTTCAGCTTACATCAACCGGAGGTGATAAATTTGAACTTTTATTACGTTTTCTACACACAATTCTTATTCTTTTATTCATGTTCGTGGGCAACGCAATCGGACAGGAACTTACAGATCGCAATGATCAAGTATATTTTACAGCGTAAGATATACATTGTTTTCGTATTATTGATGATATTTGTGTGCCTTCTTACAGCCCCACAGTGAAATTAACAAAACTAAAGTTTAATATAATGTCCAAAGCGCGTATATATGAGAACATTGTTCTGTCTTCTTGCTTTTCTCGAATTAATATTTTACTCATTATGTTATAGATACAAAGTTATATGGTATACAACGTCCTTACACGTGCAGAAACTAATATTATTTCTGATACAAAGAGGTAACAAAACTTTCTGGTTGAAAGTGGGTGGATTATTTGTTCCATGCTTAGAGGGTTTTTCAACGGTAAAAAATATATAATTCAATGAGATATATTCAATGCGACCTATGTCGGACGGATAACACGAAAGATGAGATTTTCCATTTACAGTTGATAAATGCATCACTATCTTACTTTACCATGATATATTCTACGCAACAGTGATATGAATGTGTCCGTCATTTAATAGTATATCGAGATATAATAAGTAAGCGTGATAATTTCTGCCCGTTATATTCTTACTGGAAACTTTCAATTAATTATATATATACTTTTTATAGCTTTTTTTTTAAAGATTCCAGACAATTTACTCATTTTATAGAAATCTATATTGCATCCGCAATTTTTATGCGACACTTACATCTTCTACGTGTCAAAATAAATTTACCTGTTATTATAAAGAGAAAATTATCATTTTATTGCAAACAAGAACGATAACTCAGTTTATATTTCTTCTTTTAAGTAATGATTATCTTCGACAAAGAATATTTTCATGATAATATTTTGGAAAAATGTTCATTACAAATTTCAGAAAATCATGTTATTATGTATTCAAAAGAAGAATTTGTTCCTTATAAAAAAATATTGTGAAACTTTATCGAGGAACAAGTTGGTTCGACTTTATGGGGTAAGCAAACCGATTTTTTGTCTAATTTAATACATATCATTTAATATTCTTGATTGTAATGTGCTAAGATTCAGAATATATTTTGAATAACTTTGATACTTACAATAAATTTATATTAGATTTGCGGATATATAAACTGACTAAATACTTGTAACAAATAATAATATTTACTTAAATGCAGTATATATTTTTTGAGATATATTTTTAAGACTCGGTTGTACAATATATGTAAGAAACATAGGTATATCATGGTAATTATATCTAATTACTTGAAGCATTGAAAACGTGTCTGGAGATGACGCTTATTCGATTATACTTTGTCGGAAAATAATTTTATTCGGTGGAATGGGATATAGGTGAGACACCACGCGTGGCTAGTAATTGGTAAGCATTTAATACAATCAAGCACGTTTACGACTTTAACGTTCCTCATATACAGTCAAATACATTAAATCGTTCAGGTACAGCCGTGTTCAAATGAGAGCTGGGAACACACAATTCGTCAGTTTTATTTACTTTTTTGCGAAATCATAAAATTTAGTCACGCTACTAATTGCAAAAGTGGACACTTTTTAGAATTGTTTAACTATTGAATGTCATAGACTTGAGCGTCACACACCTTAGTATAATTCCGTAAGTACGTGAAATATATTAGCACTAGTAACAGTAAAAAAATTCACAAGTTATTAGAGGTTTACACTTTACCGACGCTAATTACAGTTAACACGTCGAGCTTGAGACAAATGCGACTGATGTTCTTCTCAACGATCAAACGTACCTCACGAGTGTTTATACTGGTGTTTATACTGAAGCACCTAAATGGTGGAAAGAGCGACTACGCTTGCGTGAACTTCGGCCGGCTAGTCGTCGTATGAGTTATATCGTGAGAAATTAATATATATTGAATTTCTTTTCATTTTATATTAATAACGGATATTGTTTGTCTTGCAAAAAGATTAAAATTACTATATTAGCCATGGATGGATTTTTCACGGTTTCCCTCAGCAAAAATACATCATGCTTTAGAATATATTTAGCGTGGGATATTCCGAGGCAACACAACAGAATTCATTATAGTTGATTAACACGGTTTCGAGTGTGTTCCTTTTCAATAAATTTATTGCTTGCAGATGACACCATTTTTGATTGCTGAATATATACCTAACCTTTTCATTAAAATTGTTACTTCCATAATATTTTCTCGTTCTGCAAAATACTCTCACTAATTTTTTAGTTTTTAATCTCGAAAGATTGTTCTTCTTATTAATCTTATTTGATGTGCTTTGTTTAAATCTTAATCTCTTTCGAGTGAGTTTTTCCGCACTATTAATTAAATACATCTTTGAACGCGAGCGGTATAATTTTTCATGATATTTAAATACACACAGTAGTAAAAATCAAATAATGTGATTGTAAGAATGTAAAAAATGCTTAGTTTTAAATTGCTGTAATACTAAAATTACAGTTGTCACGAAAAGAAGGAAACTTACTTATACTATAGTATGCAAGTATATCGGTATCTTATTTTATCGTTATGTATTTTACGCAAAGGTGACACAAATTTCCATTATTCAATAGATTATGGGAGTACAGTAGGTACGCGTTGGATGTTACTTGATTTTCACTAATGTATGCGTGCAATTAAGTTTGTAAATATCTGCGAAGAGAGCTCTGTGAAAACATTTAAATTATTAGATCAATATTTTACCGTCTATAATTCCGTGGATGATATCTTGCTATATTGCGACGGATCGTCTGATGTGTCTCCCCATAACCATGTGTGTCTCGTGGTTGCTGGCTTTAGAATGAACCGTGTGCGCGACTGGGATGCAAGTGCGCTTGCGTGGACATTTAGATGACCAAGTCGTTCTGTGAGTGTTATTCTATGGGAAATAAACATACGCGTACGTTGAATTTCTCTCGGTGTCAGATCGATAGCCGGCCTTTCCCCTTCAATGTCATGAGAATGCACGCGTGTCGATTTTACGGAAATATTACGCATCGCCCTATGGTTATTTTTCATTATATAATTTACATTAAATTTCATGTTAAATGGAAGGCTGTTATAGAGTAATGGTTTGAACGGTTGAAATAAGGGTATTTTGCAAAAATTTCGTGGACTTCCCACAGTCAAACGCGTCTCGACACTCGTAGCGAAATGATCTGTATTGAAACTGAACATTTTTCTATTAATCGAATTCTTCTGCTAGTACTTGGCTTATGGCCCTATCAACGATCAAAACTTGTCCTACTCCAGACTATCATAATTTTTGTCATACTGATGAGTTTTATAATATCTCAAGTATGTTTATATTGTAATTGCACATGTTATTGTGTAATAGAAATAGCTGCACAGTCATCTGTAGTGAATGTCTATTTTGACTTAAAAAACACGCGAACTATTATATGATTGTTTTATATTACTGAACATTCATATAGTAAGCATATTAGCACTTTTTAATCAATGAAAATTAGTCAGATTTATTAATTAAATGTCATGTGTTATCAACGATCAGAAAAATTTTAACACAATTTAATTTTTCTTCAACATAAAATTTGTAACTTTCTTTTTATAAATTTAATTGTTATTTTATCATAGATATGGAGGCAACAAACTATTTTAAATTTGCACTTTGGTAGTTAAACAAACAGTTTTTAATGTTGTTATATAAAAAAATGTGTTGCCTACAGATTACAGTACTTCTAACTGCAGAATACACTTCCGATCTTCTCATCAATGTTTTGACCACCGCATTATTATCTTGTAGTTGTTCGGTTAATTTTCTTTCGTTCTGGATTAATATCCGAACTGTAAGTTGAGATTTTCTGTGGTATATTTAATTAAATGTAGTTCGTGAATTTTTCTATATAAACATTTTTTAGTATTCTATAATATGTAACATTATACAATATAATTATTACTATAATAATAATTATTATAACAGGTAAAGTGTTTACTGGAAGAACTGCAGAAAATATGTAATGAATTAAAGGACGTGAATGAAATTGCAATTATAAAAAGATACGGTTGTCAAGCGAAACGTATTACTGCTTCTATTACACGTAGGATATTATCTTCCACACTTCTCGACCTGTTGCAATGTGATAATAATAGATTATTTTTTCTATAAAAAGTAGATTAACATTTTGTTTCCATGCGCGTATATGTGTAATGTCGAAATTTCATTAAAATAAATATCTTATTAACATCTGTTAATAAGGAATACTGGTATAAATTTTGACAATAATGTATGATATTTTAATTATTATCAAAAGTAACAGAAATTAAAATGTTTTGATGATCAGCTTTCTGTCAGACTACACACATAATAGAGAAGTTATATTTGAGTGAATTTAGTTTTACAATAATTCTTTACTATTGATTATTAAAAAACACCAATTTATATAATTACATTTTTTAAATGTCCTTAGTGTTATCCGCGTTTCCTCCAATCGTTAATATTGCTCAACCAATTTGGCCACGCGTTCTTGGCATTTTTTTGTTCCTGAACGAATCTTTGTTCCGTCGCAAGACGTTAATCTTGACCGAGTACTTTGTCGATCAAGAAAAATATTTTTACTTAATTATGTTGCATACGAACATAGCAATTTACATAGCAACGTTTGCAATGATAGCAACAGGAACGCTGCTTCTGGTGTCTCTTAAACATGCCTGTGGAATGTTTAGTATCGCCAGGTGATGAAACCAATAGCAATACATAGAATAATCATGATTTTTATTAGTGTATTTTCACATAAATAAATAAAAAGAAAATTATATAATTATAGCGAGAAAATTATTTGCAGTTATCGCATAGAACGAGCAATTACAAACAATAAGCGAGAAAATGTTAATTTAAAGGACCAGAATGTGATTTTTAAAAGGATGGTCTATGGGATAGACATTCATCGTAAAGCTATGCAGTCGGTATTTATTTGATAACACTTACTTATAATAAGTGTAATAACATTCTCTTATATTCTTAAAGATACTCCAATTTTATAATATCCAGCTTTGAGGGAACTTTCTTTCTTCTCATTGCGTTCGGCGTGGTTTGTTTGAGTCTTAATCTTTTTCGAGTGAGTTTTTCCGGACTTTAAATTTATCTATAGATGAGAGGAGTTTATATACAAATCTCAATATACAAATTTATTTACATACATAAAGAAACATAATTATATGCAAAGAAACAATTAATATAAATTATAGTGTAATAATAATGTAATTTATATTATATAATAGTATAATTTATAGTATAATGATAATAAAATTATATTATAATAATAATATAATTATACTATGTACGTAAAAACAGTTCAGTGTCAAAAAAAATCTTGATATTATTAAGTTATATATTTGTGGTTTACACAAATAATATCATTAATAACTATTCATCTTTATGAGATTGACATTTGGTCTTAGATTGTTCAGCTTGCATCAACCGGAGGTGATAAATTAGAACTTTTCTTACGTTTTGTATACACAATTCTTATTCTTTTATACATGTTCTTTGCCAACGCAATCGGACAGGAAATTACAGATCACAATGATCAAGTATATTTTACAGCGTAAGATATATATTGTTTTCGTATTATTCATGACAATTGTGTGCTAGTGGCCTTCTTACAGGCCAACAGTGAATTTACCAAAACTAAAGTTTAATGTAATTTCCAAAGTGCGTATATATGGGAACATTGTTCTGTCTTTTTGTTTTTTTCGAATTTATATTTTATCCATTATGTCGTAGATACAAAGTTATATGGTATATAATGCCCTTACATGTGCAGAAATTAATATTATTTCTGATACAAAGAGGTAACAAAACTTTCGGTTTGAATGTGGGTGGATTATTTGTTGCATCCTTAGAGTGTTTTGCAACGGTAAAAAATATATAATTTAATCCGATATATTCAATGCGACTTATGTCGGACGGATAACACGAAAGATGAGATTTTTCATTTGCAGTTGATAAGTGCATCACTATCTTACTTTACCGTGATGTATTCTACGCAACAGTGACATGAATGTATCCGTCATTTAATAGTATATCGAGATGTAATAGGTAAGCGTGATAATTTCTGCCCGTTATATTTTTATTGGAAACATTCAATTAATTCTATGTAATATCCTTTTTATAGCTTTTTTTTTATATCGAGATGTAATAGGTAAGCGTGATAATTTCTGCCCGTTATATTCTTATTGGAAACATTCAATTAATTCTATGTAATATCCTTTTTATAGCTTTTTTTTTATATCGAGATGTAATAGGTAAGCGTGATAATTTCTGCCCGTTATATTCTTATTGGAAACATTCAATTAATTCTATGTAATATCCTTTTTATAGCTTTTTTTTTATATCGAGATGTAATAGGTAAGCGTGATAATTTCTGCCCGTTATATTCTTATTGGAAACATTCAATTAATTCTATGTAATATCCTTTTTATAGCTTTTTTTTTCTTTTGAAAGATTCCAGACAATTTGAACACATTTTATACAAATCCATACCATATCCGCAATTTTTATGCGACACTTACAACATCTAGGTATAAAAATAAATTTACCTGTTATTATAAAGAGAAAAATAAAATTTTATTGCAAACAAAAACGATAACTCAGTTTATTTCTTTTTTTAATGACTTTCAGCAAAAAATATTTTTTTGATAATAGTTTGAAAACATGTTCATTACAAATTTCAGAAAATCATGTTATAATGTATTCAAAAGAAGAATTTATTCTTTTTAAAAAAATATGGTGAAACTTTATCGAAGAGCAAATTGGTTTGACTTTATGGAATAAGCAAACCGAATTTTATGTCTAATTTAATACATATAATTTAATATTCTTGATTGAAATGTAAAACGTGATAAAATTCAGAATATATTTTGAATAAGTTTGATACTTATGATGAATTTAAGATTTGCGGATATATAAACTGACGAAATACTTCTAACAAATAATAACATTTACTTAAATGCAGTATATATTTTTTGAGATATATACGTTTTTAAGACTCGGTTGTGCAATATATGTAAAAAACATAGGTATATCATGGTTTTAATTATATCTAATTATTTAAAGCATTGAAAACGTGTTTGGAGATGATGCTGATTCGATTATACTTTATCGGAAAATAATTTTATTTGGAGCAATGGGATATATGTGAGACACCGCGCGAGGTTAGTAATTGATGAGCATTTATTACAATCAAGCACATTTACGACTTTAACATTCCTCAGATACAGACAAATTTATTAAATCGTTCAGGTGCGACCGTATTCAAAGGAGAGCTGGGCACACACAATTCGTCGGTGTTACTTATTTTCTTGCAAAATCATGAAATTTAGTCATGCTACTAACTGCAGAAGTGAATACTTTTTAGAATAGTTTTACTATTGAATGTCATTGACTTAAGCATCATACACATTAGTATAATTAGGTAAGTACGTGAAATATATTAGTACTAGTAACAGTAAAAAATTCACTAGTTATTAGAGGTTTACACTTCATCGACGCTAATCCCACAGTTAACACGTCGAGCTTGAGACAAATGCGACTGACGTTCTCCTCAACGATCAAACGTGCGCGACGAGTATTCACACTGGACTGAAGCACTTGAATGGTAGAAAGAGTGACTACGCTTGCGTAAACTTCGACCGGCTAGTTGTCTTATGAGTTATTTCATGAGAAATAATATATATTGAATTTCTTTAATTTGAATATTGAATTTTATGTTAATAATTGTTATAGTTTGTGTTGCAAAGATATTAAAATTACCATTTTGGCTATAGATGGATTGCTCACGGTTTCCCTCAGCAAAAAATACATCATGGATTGGAATATATTCACCGTAGGATATTCCGAGTAGGCAACACAACAGAATTCATTATAGTTGGTTAACACAGTTTCGAGTGTGCTATCTTTTCAATAAATTTATTGCTTGCAGATGACATCATTTATGGTTGCTGAATATATATCGAACTTTTCATTAAAATTGTTACTTCCATAATATTTTCTTGTTCTGCAAAGTAGTCTCACTAATTTTTTAGTTTTTAGTCTCGAAAGATTGTTCTTCTTATTAATCTTATTTGATGTGCTTTGTTTAAGTTTTAATCTCTTTTGAGTGAGTTTTTCGTCACTATTAATTAAATACATCTTCGAACCCGAGTGGTAAAATATTTCATGATATTTAAATACGCTCAGTAATAAAAATAAAATAATGTGAGTGTAAGAATGTAAAAAATGTTTAGTTTCAAATAGCTATAATATATTACATGTTGTCACAAAAAATTAAAACTTATTTATATTATAGTTTGCAAGTACATCGGTATCTTACTTTATCGTTACGTGTTTTACGCAAAAGTGACACTAATTTCCATTATTCAATAGTATATGGGAGTACAGTAGGTACGCGTTGGATGTTACTTGATTTTCACTAACGTATGCGTGCAATTAAGTTTGTAAATATCTGCGAAGAGAGCTCTGTGAAAACATTTAAATTATTAGATCAATATTTTACCGTCTATAATTCCGTGGATGATATCTTGCTATATTGCGACGAATCGTCTGGTGTGTCTCCCAATAACCATGTGTGTCTCGTGGTTGCTGGCTTTAGAATGAACCGTGTGCGCGACTGGAATGCAAGTGCGCTTGCGTGGTCATTTAGATGACGAAGTCGTTTCGTGAATGTTATTCTATGGGAAATAAACATACGCATATGTTGAATTTCTCTCGTTGTCAGATCGATAGCCGACTTTTTCCCCTTCAAAGTCACGAAAGTGCACGTGTCTCGACCTTACGGAAATATTATGCATCGCCCTACGGTTATTTTTCATTATATAATTAACATTAAAATTCATGTTAAATAGAAGGTAGTTATAGAATAATGGTTTAAAATGGTAAAATAAAATGATCGTGCAAAAACGTCGTGGAGTTCCCAGAGTCAAACGCGTCTCGACACTCATAGCGAAATGATCTGTGTTGAAACTGACCATTTTTCTATTAATCGAATTCTTCTGCTAGTAGTTGGCTTATGGCCCTATCAGCGATCAAAACTTGTCCGACTCCAGACTATCATAATTTTTGCCATACTGATGAGTTTTCTAATATTTCAGGTATGTTTATATTGTAATTGCACATGTGTTGTGTAATAGAAATGGCTGCACAGTTACCTGCAGTAAATGTCTTTGATTTCAAAAACACGCGAACTATAATATGATTGTATCATACTATTGAACATTCATATAGTAAGACATATTAGCACTTTTTAATCAATAAAAATTAGTCGGATTTATTAATTAAATGTCATGTGTTATCAACGTTCAGACACATTTTTTTATTAGAATACAGTTTAATTTTCTTCAACATAAAATTTGTAACATTCTTTTTGTAAATTTAATGTTGAAGAAAAATTAAATTGTGTTATAATTTTATGTTGTTTTATAATGGATATGGGGGCAACAAACTATTTTAAATTTGCACTTTGGTAGTTAAATGAAGAAACAGTTTTTAATGTTGTTATTAAAAAAAAACGTTTTGCCTACAGACTACAGTATTTCTAACAGCAGAATTCACTTCAGATCTTTTCATCAATGTTTTGACCACCGCATTATTATTCTGTACTTTTTCGGTTAATTTTCTTTCGTTCTGGTTTAATATCCGAACTGTAAGTTAAAATTTTCTGTTGTACATGTAATTAAATGTTATCTATCCGTGAATTTATCTGTATAAACATTTTTTAGAATTTTATAATAAGTAACAATATAATTATACAATAATAATAATATAATTATTTAAACAATAATAATATAAATATTTAAACAATAATGATATAATTATACTATATAATTATTACTATAATAATTATTATTATAACAGATAAAGTGTTTACTGGAAAAACTGCAGAAAATCTGTAATGAGTTAAAGGACGAGAATGAAATTGCAATTATAAAAAGATACGGTTATCAAGCGAAACGTATTACTGCTTCTATTATACGTAGGATATTATCTTCCATACTTCTCAATATTGCAATGTGATAATAATAGATTATATTTGCTATAAAAAGTACATTAACCATTTTGTTTTTATGAGCATATATGTGTAATGTCAAAGTTTCATTAAAAAAAATTTCTTATTAACATCTATTAATAAGGAATTACCTATATAAATGTATTTTGATGATAACGTATAATATATTAATTATTATCAAAGGTAACAGAAATTAAATTGTTTCCATGATCAGTTTTCTGTCATACTACACACATACATACACAAAAGAAAAGTGGTTTTATATTGAGTAAAAATTTCGATCTATAACAATTCTTTATAATTATATATTTAGATACTCTAATTATACATTTTCTTTTAATGCTCTTAGTGATATGTGTGTTCATTGAAGTCGGTCTTCTTGGCCACTTAATTTGGCCTCGCTTTCTTGGCATTTTTTTGTTTCTGAACGAATCTTGGCCTCGTCGCAAAACTTTCATCTTGACGGAGTATTTTGTCGATCAAGAAAAGTATTCTAATTTAATCTGGTTGCATATGAACACAGCAATTTGCATAGGAGCGTTTGCAGCGTTTGCAACTGGAACGCTGCTTCTGGTGTTTCTTAAATATGCCTGTGGAATGTTTAGTATCGCCAGGTGATAAAGCCAATAGCAATATATGCAAAAATCATGATTTTAATTAGAATATGTTTTCCAACGTTAAATAAACGAAAAAGAAATTATATAATTATATATATTAATAATTAATAATTAATAATTATATAATTATTATATTATATAGCGAAAAAATTATTTACAGTTATCGAATAGAACAAGCAATTACAAACAAGAAGCGCGAAAATGATGATCTAAAGGACCAGAATGTGATTTTTAAGAAGATAATCTATGCGGTAGACATTCATCGTAACGCTATGCAGTCGGTATTTATTTGATAACATGTACTTAAAATAAGTGTGATAACATTCTTTTATATTCTTAAAGATACTCCGATTTTTTAATATCCAGCTTTGAGGGGACTTTCTTTCTTCTCATTACGTTCGGCGTGGTTTGCTTGAGTCTTAATCTTTTTCGAGTGAGTTTTTCCGGGCTTCAAACGTATTTATAGACGACAGGAGTTTATATACAAATCTCAATATATAAATTTGTTTACATACGTAAAGAAACATAATCATATGCAAAGAAATAATCAATATAAATTATAGCTAAATTAATTGATATAAATTATAGCTTTTAAATTATATACTATGTGTGTACAAATAGTTTAGTGTAAAAAAATCTTGATATTAAGCTATATATTAATAGTGATTTATCCAAGAAATACTATTAATAACTATTCATCTTTAATTGACATCATTTGATCTTAGACTTTTCAGCTTGCATTATCCGGAAGTGATAAATTTGAACTTTTATCACGTTTTGTATGCACAGTTTTTATTCTTTTATACATGTTCTTAGCCAATGCAATCGGACAGGAAATTACAGATCACAATGATCAAGTATATTTTACAGCGTAAGATATACATTGTTTTCCTATTATTGATTACAATTGTATGCTAGTAGTTTTCTTAGAGGCCAACAGTGAAATTAACAAAACTAAAGTTTAATATAATTTCCAAAGCGCGTATATATGGGAACATTGTTTTGTCTTCTTGCTTTTCTCGAATTTATATTTTAGTCATTATGTCGTAGATACAAAGTTATATGGTACACCACGCCCTTACACGTGCAGAAACTAATATTATTTCTGATACAAAGAGGTAACAAAACTTTCGGATTGAATGTGGGTGGATTATTTGTTGCATCCTTAGAGTGCTTTGCAACGGTGAAAAATATAATTGAATCATATATATTTAATGCGAACTATGTCGGATGGATAACACGAAAGATGAGGTTTTTCATTTGCAGTTGATAAGTGCATCACTGTCTTACTTTACCGTGATGTATTCTACGCAACAGTGACATGAATGTGTCCTTCATTTAATAGTATATCGAGATGTAGTAGGTAAGCATGATAACTTCTGCCCGTTATATTCTTACTGGAAATTTTCAATTAATTCTATGTAATATCCTTTTTATAGCTTTTTTTTTTTTTAAAGATTCCATGCAATTTGAACTTATTTTATGCAAATCTATATTGCATCCGCATTTTTTATGCGACACTTACAACATCTAGATATCAAAATAAATTAACCTGTTATTATAAAGAGAAAATAATCATTTTATTGCAAACAAGAACGATAACTCAGTTTATTTCTTCTTTGAAGTAATGATTATCTTCGATAAAGAATATTTTCTTGATAATAGTTTGGAAAAATGTTCATTACAAATTTCAGAAAATCATGTTATTATGTATTCAAAAGAAGAATTTATTCCTTTTAAAAAAATATTGTGAAACTTTGTCGAAGAACAAGTTGGTTCGACTTTATGGGGTAAGCAAACCGATTTTTTGTCTAATTTAATGCATATCATTTAATATTCTTGATTGAAATGTAAAACGTGATAAAATTCAGAATATATTTTGAATACGTTTGATACTTACAATGATATTATGTTAGATTTGCGGATATATAAACTGACGAAATACTTGTAACAAATAATAACATTTACTTAAATGCAGTATATATTTTTTGAGATATGTACGTTTTTAAGACTCGATTGTACAATATATGTAAGAAACGTAAGTATATCATGGTTTTAATTATATATAATTATTTGAAGCATTCAAAACGTGTTTGGAGATAACGCTGATTCGATTATACTTTGTCGAAAATAATTTTATTCGGAGGAATGGGATATAGATGAGACACCTCGCCAGGCTAGTAATTGGTGAGCATTTAATACAATCAAGCACATTTACGACTTTAACATTCCTCAGATACAGATGCATCAAATCGTTCAGCCGCAGCCGTGTTCAAAGGAGAGCTGGGAACACACAATTTGTCGGTTTTACTTATTTTTTGCAAAATCATGAAATTTAATTATGCTACTAATTGCAAAAATGAACACTTTTTAGAATAGTTTGACTATTGAATGTCAGATTTGAGCATCATACATATTAGTATAGTCCCGCATGTACGTGAAATATATTAGCACTAGTAACAGTAAAAAAATTCACAAGTAATTAGAGATTTACGCTTAACTGACGCTAATTCCACAGTTAACACGTCGAGCTTGAGACAAATGCGACTGACGTTCTCCTCAACGATCAAACGTGCCTTACGAGTGTTCGTACTGGACTGAAGCACTTGAATGGTAGAAAGAGCGACTACGCTTGCGTGAACTTTGGCCGGTTAGTCGTTTCATGAGTTATTTCGTGAGAAATTAATATATATTGAATTTCTTTCGATTTTATATTAATAACTGATATTGTTTCTGTTGCAAAAAGATTAAAATTACCATTTTGGTTATGGATGGATTGTTCACGGTTTTCCTCAGCAAAAAATATGTCATGGATTAGAATATTTTCAACATAGGATATTCCGCGTAGGCAACACAACAGAATTTATTATAGTTTGTTAACTCAGTTTCGAATGTGCTATCTTTACAATAAATTTATTGCTTGCAGAAGACATTATTTATTATTGCTGAATATATATCTAATCTCTTCATTAAAATTGTTAGTTCCATAATATTTTCTTATTCTGCACTCTCATTAAATTTTTAGTTTCTAGTTTCGAAAGATTTTGTTCTATTAATCTTATTTAACGTGCTTTGTTTAAGTCTTAATCTCTTTCGAGTGCGATTTTCCGCACTATTAATTAAATACATTTTCGAACGCAAGTGGTAAAATGTTTCATGATATTTAAATTTACGCGCAGTAGTTAAAATGAAATAATGTGATTGTAAGAATGTAAATTATGTTTAGTTTCAAATTGCTGTAATACTAAAATTACACGTTGTCATGAAAAAATGAAAACTTACTTATATTATAGTTTGCAAGTATATCGGTATTTTTTTTTATCGTTATGTATTTTACGCAGAAGTGATGCAAATTTCCATCGTTCAATAGTATATGAGAGTACAGTAGGTGCGCGTTGGATGTTATTTAATTTTCACTAATGTATGCGAGCAATTAAGTTTGTGAATATCTGCGAAGAGAGCTCTGTGAAAACATCTAAATTATTAGATCAATATTTTACCGTCTATAATTCCGTGGATGGTATCTTGCTATATTGCGACGTATCGGCTGACGTGCCTCCCCATAACCATGTGTGTTTCGTGGTTGCTGGCTTTAGAATGAACCGTGTACGCGACTGGGATGCAAGTGCGCTTGCGTGGACATTTAGATGACCAAGTCGTTTTATGAGTGTTATTCTATGGGAAATAAACATACGCGTACGTTGAATTTTTCTTCGTGTCAGTTCGATTGCCGGCCTTTTCCCCTTCAATGTTACGAAAATACACTTGTCGAACTTACGAAAATATTACGCATCGCGCTACGGTTATTTTTCATTATATAATTTACATTAAAATTCATGTTAAGTGGAAGGCGGTTATAGAGTAATGGTTTGAACGGTTGAAATAAGGGTATCTTGCAAAAACTTCGTGGATTTCCCACAGTCAAACGCGTCTCGACACTCGTAGCGAAATGATCTGTATTGAAGCTGAACATTTTTCTGTTCATCGAATTCTTCTGTTAATAGTTGGCTTATGGCCCTATCAGCGATCAAAACTTGTCCTACTCCAGACTATCATAATTTTCGTCATACTGATGAGTTTTGTAATATTTCAGGTATGTCTATATTCTAATTGCACATATTATTGTGTAATAGAAATGGCTGCACAGTCATCTGTAGTAAATGTCTACTTTGACTGCAAAAACACGCGAACTATAATATGATTGTTTTATTCTATTGAACATTCATATAGTAAGACGTGTTAGCTCTTTTTAATCAATAAAAATTAGTCGGATTTATTAATTA